TCTATGTGTAAACATGGCGTCTTTCGTTTCAACTGACTCTCTGAGTCGATTAGTGTAGAATTTCTGCCGGATTTTCAAAAAATATGAGCGACGACAATGGACAGGGGAACAAACAAGTTCATGTCATCTTTTTTGGACGAAATCAAGCTGTTTGAGCCACGGGATGCCTCCAACATTGTGCGCGTCAAAGCGAAATGCTACCGATCATGAGGAAAACAGCAGATCCTCACACCCTCAGCATAAATATAGCTGTGGACAAGATCACTGATGCCTATTGTTCTTGCAAGGCTGGGTAAGTCGGCATTCATGGTTTTGACAGTTACTTTTGAAATCAGTGATTTCTGTTGTTGGCAAACAACAACAGAACAGGATGAGTGTGCCTAGGCCTGACACACTGTACTCGGTGCTAGCGTGGCTAACACGATTACAGTTGAGTAAAAAGCCTTTTCAGGTCAAATAAAATCTTTAATGTATGTCAGATACGGTACACATTGCATATTGATCTGTTCAGCTAACGTAAGACTGTGTAACAGACAGGCTTCAAGGTGTAGAAGTTGTATCGGTACTGCCATTATGCTGTACTTAGCTAAAAGGTTTTCATAATGAATGTGTTTATTATTGACTTTTTTCAGACTTGGGGGTCATTGTTCACACATTATAGGCCTCCTTAAGACCTTACAATATTTCAAGCTTCAAAATTCAAAAGGGATCGGGAGGTGCTGGTGCCTATCTCTAGCTAACGTTCCGGGCGAGAGGCGGGGTCACCCTGGACAGGTCGCCAGTCTGTCGCAGGGCCACTCAAAATATCCCCATTCACTAAACATAAATAAAGCAAAGTAATAATACTTACACCAGCACACACTCCTTTGTTTTTATTGATACGACGGTTGAGCTGCAAATGCGGTCGTGCACAAGCTTTGATCCAAGCAAGGCATTCCGTTTCAGATTGGGGAAATCTGTGAATTTTATTTCCACAAATACGATCAGGATACCTGACATCGCATGTACAGATACCTCACCGACAGTGGAGAACCGTTCTTATTTGAGTTCTGTCGCAAAAACTTTGATTGTGTAGATTGTGGTCTGCTAGTCCACAATCTACATTAGCATGTGTATACTACTGTAGCTTTTGTTTGTGAGACGGTCAAGCACGTGGTAGCTGCGCAGTGACGTCAAATGGGCATTAGCCAATGAAACGCGGACCCTGTGGTAAGGTCCATAGTCCTGCAGCGACTTAGAAGCCACTGTTAACATACTGTTGCATG